GCTTTAGGAGGACCATCTATAAGGACCATGAATCCCACCCTATGCCATATTGTTTTTCAGAAGTTCCTTAAAGGGAAGCTTAAGGAGAAGGTCACTTCCCTTCAGAACTTGTAAAATGCCTTTGTTGGATGCTTAGTGTTAAATTCATTAATAATTACAAGTTATTCACAGAAAGGAACACAATCCTTTGCGGGAAGCCATTTTGAAAAGAAGGAGAACAATCAGTAACACTGCTGATCAGAATCACATTTCTAATATTAAAGTTCATGACTTTTAATGCATTAAAACATACAAAACTGATAATCTTTATGCTAAAGACCAAAACACCATTCCTAAAAAAAAAAAAAGTCAGTATCAGACAAAGATGAGCAAAATTTCCATTTTTATATCTGTACTGAAACTGATGCTTTCAAGTTTTCTACTTTTGTGTTTCAGTTAACTTTTTTTTAACTGTGGTTAGCCATTTCACTCTAAGAATGCTCTTCCTTCATATTTCAGTTCTTAAACCACACATCATCCTGTTATTTCAGTCATTCGGTAACATACTATATAAAAATTTTTAAATAAAAAGTATAAATATGCTTCTACACAAACATTAAGATCTCATTAGAAGGAGATATTTTGTGAATACCCTTTCAAGTTTAAAACAATATCATAACGTTTCACACTGTCTTCCATCACATCCTCATAGGCAAGCTCAGGAAGTGGGGGCTAGATCAGCAGACAGGGAGGTGGAGTGAGACCTGGCTGAACTGCCAGGCTTGGAGGGTTGTGATCAGTGGCACTATGTCCAGCTGGAGGCCTGCAGCTAGCGGTGTCCCCCAGGGGTCAATACTTGGTCCAATACTGTTTAACCTCTTCATTAATGATTGCGCATGAAGGGACAAAACGCACCCCCAGCAAGCTTGCTGACGATCCCAAACTGGGAGGAGCAGCTGATACACCAGAGGGCTGTGCTGCCATTCCAAGGGACCTCAACAGGCTGGAGAGGTGGGCTGAGGGGACCCTCCGGAAGTTCAGCAAAGGCCAGTGCAGAGTCCTGCCCCTGGGCAGGAAGAACCCCAGGCACCCGGATAGGTTGGCAGCTGACCTGCTGGAAAGCAGCTCTGCAGGGCAGAACCTGGGTGTCCTGGTGGACAAGTTAAGCATGAGCCAGCAATGTGCCCTTGTGGCCAAGAAGGCCAATGGTGTGCTGGGCTGCATTAGGCAGAGTGTTGCCAGCAGGTGGAGGGAGGTGATCCTGCCCCTCTCCTCAGCCCTGCTGAGGCCTCACCTGGAGTACAGTGTCCAGTTCTGGGCTCCCCAGGACAAGAGAGACGTGGAGCTCCTGAAGCAAGTCCAGCAAAGGGCTACTAAAATGACAAAGGGACTGGAGCATCTCTCCTATGAGGAGAGGCTGAGAGAGCTGGGTCTGCTCAGCCTGGAGAAGAGAAGGCTGAGGGGGAATCTGATCAATGGGAGGGTATCTGAAGGGAGGATGTCAAGAGGATGGGGCCAGACCCTTTTCAGTGGTGCCCAGCGACAGGACAAGAGGCAACGGGCACAAACTGAAACACAGCAAGGTCCATGTGAACATGAGGAAAAACTTTTTCCCGTGAGGGTGACTAAGCCCTGGAGCACGCTGCCCAGAGAGGTGGTGGAGTCTCCATCCTTGGAGATATTCAAAGTCCATCTGGACAGGGTCCTGGACAACCTGCTCCAGCTGACCTTGCCTGAGCAAGTGGGTTGGACTAGATGATCTTTAAACATCCCATTTCAATGTAAACTGCTCTGTGATTCTGCAGGCAGTTCACATAAACCTTCAATCTCACAGATTCTGTGCTCATTCCTTTTTAATGCTGCACCCCAAAATCACCAAAAGAGGCCAGAATTACACTGTACAATCTTTCTGGGAAAGAAGAGGGATGGCAGAGAAAAAACAGGAAAAAACAGATGCCAGTGTTCCAGTGTCTGAAGCATAGTACGCTGGCCTCTGGCTAATATCAAGGCCCTAAATACAGAGACTTAATTCCAGATAGCTTTTCCCCTTTGGTTCTCATATTAGTGAAGCAGCGTTTGCGTCATGAGTTCTAAACCATGAGCACAACTGGTAAAAGTAGGCTTTTAGCCTACTGTGACAGCTTCACTTTAGAAGGCAACAGATTTAATCGATAACAACCTCAAAGTCCTTCACAGACACAGACCATGTTAAAATTATCACCTCTGAAAAGGAAAATTACCTTTCCTTTTCCATCTGCTTTTCTTCCCATCTTTGTTACTGCAAGCATCACTGCTGCTGCTGCTGCTGCTGCTGTTCTCCGAGCTCTGCGAGTCTGACTGGGCATCGCTGCTTTCTTCCGAGCCATCAGAGAGCTCTTTTAATCCATCTGGAACATCCTTCTGCAAGTGAGAGAGACACACATATAGTTACCTACTCCATATAAAATTCTCCCAACTAAAGAGCATTTAAAAGCAGCAGTTGCCTGCATTAATAAGCACCGATCGTGGATTTTCCATGCCTCAGAACGACGTCAGAACTGCTTAGACTCTGGCCCACTAAAAACCCACGTTACCTTTTGCTAGTCCGTATCAAATGCTTTAAATTTCAGCTACCGCATCTCTTCCACTTTCCCCATCCTCACCTTTCACAAGTACGCCCTTCCTTCCACACCCACTGGAGTTGCCCTCTCTATCCCTTATTGCCAGCTCCCACCTACGTCTGTTTTATGGGAAAGCTGGGCAATTTTTGAAGTTCACGACAGAAGGAAAACAGTTTGACAACTCAGTGTCCTGCAGGCCCAGATAACTTCACTGCGTGCCAGGACCACAGCAGCCTCTGACGCGCTGCACAGCTCCTTGCAGGAACGGATCTGGCAGGTGCTTTTGTGCAGTAAAACGTCTGAACTGTCAAAGCCTGTAACTCTGCGTGAACGCGCGTTCGCGTGTACCATTTTAGGCTGAGCGCCGCTGGGCAGCGGGTTTTCGCCCTGAACACGCACTGCCCTCTAGCGATCACCCAGCTCGAACCACTTTTCAGCCTACTTTGCCCTATCGGTGCTAGCCCGTGACAACAAACCCATTCATGCTGGTCGGGACTTCAGGCATGGCTGATAATGTTACCGTTTTCCTACCTGCCCAAACTGTTCTGGACACCTTACAGACGGAGAACGTGCAAAGAGCTGCATCGCTTGCAGACAACCCAGCCACCATGTCCTTGCCCATCCTCATCCCCCCTCTCCAACTTCTATCAGATGGTCTCAGCTTCGTCGGACGGCATATCTGAAATTACGTTATACGTCTGTCTTGGTAGGTAGATAGGTAACGCTAACGTTAAATGTGTACTGTAACGAGGCAGAGAGGACAGCGTTTGTAACAGCTGGACAAATTAACAGAGCCGCGTATTTCAGAGAGGAAAGAATCTTTTTTTTAAAGCACTCAACCAGACCCTGCCTGAAAGCCTGTATTTCTTTCTAGTTACTTACTGGAAAAAGCCACTCAGAACAACTTTCCCTTTTTAGGAAAAGTCAATTAATTTCTTGTCCTTTCTCTGAAATTACAGCTATGACTAATTTCCGCATGCAAGACCAAAAAGTACTTAAGATGACACAAGTGTTATCAAAATTTAATTTCTTAGAGATTTTTTCCATCAGCAAGGTGAAGTACTAAATAGTTTAGATATTGAATTGTATCTTCATCCTACACTTCAGAAATAAAGTTCTTTTAACTGCACATAAAAAATAAGCTGTAGGTTATCACCAGAAGCAGGAAAAAAACTTTGTATTTGTATCAAGTGTCACTAAAGTTGGTAAAGACATGAAGCTTGCGAATTTCTAATGCTTACACTCCCTTCCTTAAAGCTCTTTTATAGCTTAATCTTTGGAAAGATCACTTTAGTCCTTGGAGACATGTCAATTATGCACGTTACCTATTTCAGATTTTTTTGAAGATGTTTCTTTTAAAGCCTTCTGCTGTGAGAGAATCACATCTCCTGCTGGGTCAGGTGCCATTACTTACTGCCAGACAGTGTGGAACACATGAGGAGCTAGAAAACCTGGACTTCCTTGGCTTTTGACTTGACGTTTCTGATTGAGAGTGAGTGAAGAAGATGGGGCCAGACACTTCTCAGTGGTGCCCGGTGACAGGACAAGAGGTAACGGGCACAAATTGAGACACAGGAACTTCCAATTGAACACAAGGAAACACTTCTTTGCGGTGAAGGCAGTTGAACTTTGGAAGAGGTTGCCCAGAGAGCTTGTGGAGTCTCCCTCTGTTCATGGAGATATTCGAAACCCATCTGGACACAGTCCTGGGTAAGGCGGTCTAGTTTATGCTGCTTGATCAGGGAGGTTGGACCAGATGATCTCCAGAGGCGCCTTCCAACCCCCAACTACTCTGTGATTCTTCTTTCAATAATTAAAATTCACTCACTCCTTCCAGTAACCATACCCAATAGTCGAATAAAATATGGCCTTCTAGCTGCCAGTCCTATAAACACATCTGGTAAGATTTTGAGAATGTTGTTTTTAGCATCTGCGGTAAAAAACAATGGAACAAGACAGACTTTCCCCAAATATAAAGTTAAAAATAGTCCTGCAGACTGGAATCTTCTGATTTACCAGTGAACAGCAAACTCCACTGCATCGAGTGGAACAATTAAAAGATAAATGCATAGAGGCAGAACCACATGCAGTCTTCCGAATAAGGCCAGATGCTGTTTTGTACGCAACACTAGCAATGACTTTGGGACCAACAAACATGAAGACGGCAGGCAGAAGCACATTTGGAAATCATCAGGCATAAGAATGTTTGAGGGGTCTACATGAAGGTCAATAAACCAAAATACTGGACTTCCAAATAACGTGCCTTGCAGCAAGGCCAGTGGTAGCTGGGATCGAGGTGAGCCACAGCATCAACGGGGGTTGCAGGATTAGGAACCAGTGTGCAGCTCCGAGTGCAAATGTGGGGCAAAGATGGGGACAGGAAGAGCTGTAGCTGCTCTCCTTCCCTCCCTCCTCAGGTAAACACATACCTAGTGTTTTCACCTATATCACAACGGCAGCAATGCAGAGGAATCCAAGAGAGAAACCAAGGTATTCAGAAGTGAGAAGAAGTCTAAGGCAAATACACATAATATGAGCTGCTCCTTTGTCCACACAGATCTTGTTCAGATTTTCTGTTTTACTACTGACGTATTTCTTCGGTCTCTTCTTTCTCAGCTTCCTGCCAGAATGACTCCAATTTCTCAGCATCAGTGAATTAACTTTCAGTCTAAATCCCACCTTGTCTTTCAAGCTCGAGTTCCCTGTCCCTGTTCATATCCTGCTACTTCTCTGTACCCTGTCCACTTGCCTTGTCCTGGTCTGGATCTGCCAAGAATACCAGCTTTGCCTGACTGCTCCACTCAGTTTTCGTTGGGAGTATTTCACTGTCCATTAAATACACATTAAATATCCCTCGTGATCACCATTTTTTCTTAAGACTATCTTTCCTACGCTCTCTGCTAGAAGTTCTCCTGTTTTAGGCATAGAACTTTGCCTTTTCTTTAACAAAATCACTTAGTTTTTGTATTTATCTATTCACCCTCAGTACATCAATTGTTCTTGTAAGATGCGAATTCTTCCAGGCCCGACTGAACTTTTGCATATGCCTGTATAACTCGAAACGAAATCAGAGCCTCAAGGCTCACGCAGCGCACACAGCTTTTGCAAACCATGAAAAATACCACGTGAGACACTACTAGAAATTCAACACCTTTGTTACATATATTTAAAGGTCATGGTAATTTGTTTTAGAATATTTGGAAATAATTTTCCCCAGGAGACCAAGCAGACTCCTCAGATCGTATGAAAAGTGACCAACATATCCTTATTAGGGCAAATGCAGCTTCCTTCTAGGTTTGTACTTGCCCCAGCGGAGCACTGCCAGCTACCCTGTGCTGTTACACATCACTTCAGCAGTTGAGCAAGCCTGTGACATCTAATCATTTCTAAACAAAACAAATGTGACTTTTTACTTTCCCCCTCCCTGCAGAAAGCGTGGCCATTATCTCTGAAAGACGACTGGCTATTTCAGTAAAACACTGAAACAGTCATTTTGCGACTCGGTTCGCAATCACTCTCACATAGGTTGACCATTCCTCATCAGTGTCAAGCATGAATATGCCTGAAGTTGCGTGTTCCCTCCTTACCCTGCCTGCTGCAGTCAAAAACACGCTGGTGTTTACCTCGCAAAAGAGAATCCTTTTCGTCAACTCAGGGTCTAACATCGCCAGTCCTCAAACAGACCTTTGCAAGCTTAGTAGAGAAAGCGGTCCTGTTTCCTGCCTTGCAAACCATGTGTGACACGACGCGTGCTGAGAGAGTACCTGTCCGTCCGCAGGGATGGAGCGCTCGGTGCACTTCAGATCACTTCTGACTACTATAATTAGACAAAACTTGGGGAAAGTAGAGGATTAAGTGCTTGACAGCAAAGCTGGAGACAGAGTGACAAAAGAGAGGAACAACCAACCAACATTAATAAAAGTTAACTTTGAAATTTATTTCCATTCCTAGCTACCATTAAGAACTCTCTCCCGGAGCATCTCTTGGCCACGAGTACTGAGCAAGCATCTCCAGAAACACTTAATCCTCTGTATATTATTTCACAGAACTGACAGCTTCCTGGGTAAAGTTCTTCTCATCTATTTTACATACCTTTATCACCAAGTCTAAATAAAAATCAAAGGAAGATCCTGGCACTCTACTAATCTCTTTACTATTCAGTTCAACAATACAATAATCCAGGCCAGTGAGCCAGCAAAAATGCAAATGCAACTTTGTTTTACTCATCAAGTATTTTATTATAAGCTTTCTATTTTTTTATTTATTTATCTTTAGGAAGTATGGTTTAGTGGACACCTGGCTTTCATTCATTGCATTGCAATGTAAACAAGGCGCTGGATATTCCTTGAGGAACGGTCATCTGTACTGTGCAAAGCTTCTTGATTGCTACATAAACCACCACACTTCATTAATCATGCATCATTAATCATGCAACTTCTGCAGCATTTCTCATTAAACACATCATCCTTACAATCTCCAGGCTGCTGCTGGCACTACGCAGGGACTAAACACAGCACGACGGACCTGAGAACGGTGCAACAGGACTGAACAACTCCCTCTTTCTTGGCATGCTTCGAATCTCTCGCCACTCCACGAAGGTTACTGCATTCAGGTTACACAGTTCCAGTGTACGAAAGATCACAACAAAACTGCTGTATCTCTAGATACGTAGGACATAATACGCCTTTGGAACAATCCACTCAGTCAATGAAGACTATTACATTTAAGCAAGTTATTCCTACATTGAGTTAAATAATCTTGGAGCTTAGCTGAACCTGAACTTTAAGATGATGAGTTTTGTATTTAACATCTCGTGAGGAAAATAAGCAACTGAACTACTACAGTAACTTCGATAGTTTGTTCTGCTGTTCAAAATGCACACTTATTTTCAGTTCGACTTTGTTTAGATTTAACATCTAGACACTGGATCTATCCAGGCTTTACACCACTAACAACAAGCTCTCAATCTTTCGAAAAGAATTATTTTCTCATCTTGAATTATTCTGTTCTTTTTCTGAAACTTTTCAGCACAGTTTTGCCACATCATTGCACGGAGAACTCAAAGGCAATTGCTCTATTACTTGCCTACTGCAAGCTCAAAATCCTTCCCAAGTCATAACCTTCCGACAAAATACTCTTTCCCCATTCTGGATTCTGGATTTAGGGTCTGCATTCTTTATCCCTAAAATGTAAAACTTAACACTTTCCTGTAATGAAACGAATTGTATGAGTCCAGTTATCAGTAAGCCAAACCACACAGATAACTACATTCCCTTCATTGCTGGTTACATCTCTGATATTGTTTTAATGAAATGTACATTTAAGATACAGACCGTTTTATGTACTTTGAGTTAGATGCACTGAAATCAGTTCAAACTCTATGTACTAAAATGCTGTTCAAAATGAGTTTGCAATACGTCTTGCAATGGAATTTTTGGAAGCTCTAAAGATGTTCTACTCCGATGGCATGGGAGCTCCTTTGTTGTCACGCTGTATACAAGTACTTAAGAAGCAAATAAGGTGCTTTTCCGCTTCCGGGGGGGTAGGAAGATAGGCAGAGACAGCAAGAATGGAATTCAACTTAATTAACTTTTGATAAAGACAACGAGGACATCTTTATCTGGGCATCTCTCAGCTGATTCTCCTGGTAAACAACACAGTCGCACAAGCGCTTCTGCACTAAAGCACAGTTTCTCAGACATTTTAAACATTTCAGGATGAGATGAACCTCTTAGAAGTTGTTATTTTTCTCTGTTGAGCATGGAGTGAGCTGAGGAAAGTGGTTCCAACAGAGACACCTATGCTGGAGAGGTCTATACTTTGTAAGAGGAATCCTATCTTAAAGGAACAGTTTTCAGATTTAAATTTACAGAAAAATCAAAAACAGCGCAGACAAGGTTAATTCCAGTAGTTTAACTAGAGAAAAAGGTTTCAAATAAAGATTATTGTTAAAGATTCTAATGAGGTTTAAAAAAACAAAAAACCATAAACACCTCCCCAAACATCCACGCTTTTCCCCTACAAACGTTCTCCGGTTGAAAGATGAGATGGTTTGGGTCTAATGTTAATAGAGTAAGGGAAATTTTAATTTCTGGATATGAGTTTGATATCAGTGGAGATTAAGATATCCTTTTAAGACTAAAAACTTTATTATAATTTTAATTACTGTTTTATTTCTGGGATAATGATTAATATCAGCAAGCTACGGGATCGTGAACAAAAAAATAGCACCCTCGGTTGTAGTTTCAGCATACAGGTGCACACCAGTCAAGCATGAAGCCTCCGTTGCTTGCATTTGGAGGGAAAATTTACATTTTAATTCACGCTACTAAAAAGCAGTTCACTCTTCAGTATTATCCTAATCCAATATTTTTTTAAATGGCTAAAAGTCTCTTGTTCTTTCAAAGAGAATACTCCAGCTAAGACACTTACCTTCAGAGTGTACACTCCCATTCGCCCTGGGACCTTATAGAAAATGCCCTCTTCCCCTCGGGAGTTTGTATGTAACATAGCATTCAGGCATGCAAGAGGAGAAGTCCCACTGAAAATAAAAACACAAGATTAATTCCTAAGCGTGTTGCAAGAACTCTTCTAGAGACTGTTTACCTGGTCGATAATAGTCTTTTGCTAGGAGACATTAATGGCCCCTTCACCTGATCATCGAGCATGCAGAGGTGGAAAGATCCCAAATCGGAGAGATCCCAAAGAGAACACAAGTTGAATTTGCCCTAATAAGTAAGACCAGTCTAATGCACCAGTGTCCCAATTCCAGAAAAAGCAAACCAAAAAACCCCCAAGCGTAACACTTCAGTACTTCTTTGCAAAGCCTCAGAATGGTCACACATTTTTAGAGCTATAAATTCTCAAAGTTGATGATGCTCTGAAATTTAGAGCAGATTTGTTGTGAGCTAACTACTGAACGCAGAGGTATGCAAAGTCTTTTTGGAAAAAAAGAGAAGTAATATAATCAAACAAGGGTTGTGGGATAAGGAATGGAAAAAACTAGGAAATGTTGCTAACTTTCTGAAGAGGTCTTTCGTCTTCAGTCCCAGCATTAAGAACTGAAACAGAGATCCATCTTTTTACCTATGTTGCTAGGTTTTTTTCCCCATCCTGATGTAAATATGAAGGAAGCCACATCAGGTGGACAGGGCAAGAGATAGATGACTTTCATTCCAAATCACATCCTCTACTAAATATGCACTCATGTTTGTAAAATATTTGGATATCTAGCACAACTCCTAAGCAGTAGCTTGAGACTGAGACATTTTCACCTTTTAACACCCTACCCTAAAGGCTGGGAACAGAACCGTCAGATTGACTGACAATTCCAAAGCAGAAGATATAGGTGAAGTTTGTAGTTGTCGTTTGTAGTAAGTTTTGCTCTGAATACTTAAACAAATCTGGCACAGAAGTCGTGAAATAAGCCTTGGGCATTTACGGGAATATGGAAATAAACGTGAGAAATAGTAGAGACCTCCGACAATTCAGGTAGAACCCATGCACTGCAAGTTACATGTAATAGGAGTAAAACAGCTTAGTTGAATTACTAATTTCTAGTACAGCAGAAGCCAGCATCCTGAAATAGATCCGGTCTCTCCTGCAAGGGTGACAGATGAACACGCAGCTAAGAGACCACGCAAGAAAGTGCAGTCTAGATGAGGCGGCTTACAAATGGCACAAAAAATATAGTTACAAGATGACTGCTAATATTTATATTGCTAGACCTAATCCCATCTGTGCTAACTACTATGCAAACATATACTGGGAAACCAGTCCCTGTCCTACAGGTTTTTATTCGAAGGAAGCTGGTGAGAAGCAGAGCGGGGCACCTGCCGCAGGACCACCAGCAGGACCAGAGCCCCCAGCTCCCCAACCGTGCCTGCAGCAGATGCTCCTACGCAGCATCAGAGACTGTGCAACTTGCAGGTCACTTGCTGTTGATAGGTGAGAAAAACACTTAAGGAAGTATTTAAACACATTTGCTTATAGGAGGTCTATGATTATACCAAAATTAAACGAGGCCAAGGCACAAGCCTGAGCCATAACGTGCAACTGCCCCACCACGAGCAGGGTTTCAGCGTGGTTTTAGCCTGCAGCAACTAGCTCTCTCCAGACAACGGCTGGGCACAGTCCAGGGTGAGGGCCATCCCCACTGGCAGACTGGGGAGTAGACATTGCTCAGGGTGAGGGAGAGCTAGATGGTCACCCATAGTGGCAAGAAGGGGGGAGGATTTAGAGTCAGATAGGAACCATATGATGGCAGCTGGTCAGTTAGAGCAGATGACCTCTAGTGGTCCCTTCGCCTTCAGTTATTCTACAATTCTGTTTAAGAAAACAGCCTCACGGTACCAAATACTAATATGCTTCCCTGGTTTTTCCTCCCCAAATCAGTGCCGCAACACATACTTTGCATCGCCAGACATGGCTGATTGCAATTGTCTTTCGTAAAAGTCAAAATGAATGAGACAAAACTGAGTGAACGTACGTGCAAAACAAGGCAGAACTGCAGTTCTGAGTTCACCACGTTCAGCATAAATAGTACATCTCTCTTCTGCAGCAGCTTGTGTTTTCTGAGTTTTTGCCGGCACCGTGTGTCAATAAACACTAACGATAGCGGTGAGGAGGAAGAAATTTTTAGAACCAATGTCCAAAGTTTATCTGATCGCTTGAGCGGACAGCTTAGACTGGCCTGTCCTCGTGGTCAAGGCAGACCCAACAGCACAGGAGGAAACAGCGCCAGCTTTCGAGCACGGCAGGGACCACCAGCTCGTTTTGTTTCCCCATACTGTAAAATTCAGTTCCATGCAGTCACTCCTACGCTGACCCAGTGACTTTCACAAAGACGCCAAATCCTGATATAGGAGAGAAAAACCAGTGACGTGAGCAGTTCATTTTGATCTCTGTTCAGAGTTTGTCTCTCTTTGCAGATATGGCTTATTTAGCTTTAGATTCTAGCCAGAATCCTTATCACTGAACATAAGTTTCTCCTAAAAATATTTACACAAAGTAATCAACCTCATCACCTCCTTGACTTCCCCCTGCCAAAAACACTCCCCACCACTTGCACTCTTTGAGTCATTCCTATGCTTTTATTTACACCTTCTCGAGCTGTGCAGCATCATCTCAAGATGCCAACGACAGCACTAGCAAGCAGTATTCCTGCACTAGCCTCCCCAGTGATATAGAATACTTTCACAACCCAAATCCTCTTCTCTAGAAAGCTACAGGATTGCCCTGGAAGGTAAAATTCAGTCTGATTTGCTACAGCAATCCCAAATTCTGGACATTGCTTTCCAGGATACAGCCCTCCCTTCTCTATGTAAAACCCACATTCTTTGCTCCTATATGTGCAACTTCTGCATTTAACTGCATACAAACATATTTTATGCAGCTCCAGCTTTATCTGGCAATATAACAATACAGCTGTCATTCTCCCATCACTGTTCATCATCGTTCCTCCAATCACTGCATCTAGAAAAGTATCAGAATTTTATATTTTTTCCAGATCACTAAAAAGGTATTGAGCAGCACTAAACCTATGGAACTACTGAAGCGCTCCCATATTCAGCAAAGAGCTCAGATACTAACGAGAAATTGAACCCATAAGTGACCTTTACTTCATTTCATAAGTTTTTTTACCTGTATCCTATCAAAATGTCAAATGCCATCAAGCCAAGCATTTTACAAAACTCTAAGCAAAGCTACGCAGTTATCTCTATAAAACGTGGAATCTCACCAAGAAATGAATCTTGGCTGGACTTATCTTTACAAAAGCTATCCCGACCGGCATTTATACTATTCCTGCTTAATTGATTCAGTTGTTTAATAACTTATCCATTATTTTTGCCATAATTTTTTTCTCATGTAGACACACCTATAATTACTCGCCTTCCTCTACACATCCTCTTGGAAAGCTGGCCCAAGACTAACACTATTTTAGCCTTTAATGAGTATTACAGTGAAAATCTTACAAAATTAACATCAGCTGACAACCCCCCCAAATCTTCAAAAAAAAAAAAAAGGGTTCAATTTGGGTGTAAACCGCATAGTCTTCATGTCATACTACATCCCTTCTGCCTCTATGAGTGACTACTGATTTCTGTGCTTTAGCCTGCTCCAGGCTCATCATTAACCACCACTTCCCTTCAGTCCCTTCTGTATCCCCCCCCCCAAATCCATACTGCTCTGCATTTGGAGCAATAGGTCAGCCTCCAATACTGCTGATCATTAGATTCTATTAATGTGACCACTAACATAAAAGTCATTTGGACGTCTCCGAACAGAATTCATGGTGAGACTTCAGAAGATACTATGTGGAGTTCAGCAACACTCTGACACGACCCTTCAAGGAGGGTTGTGGGTCCTTCCTGCTCCTACTCCCCAATTTCCATCCCCAAAAAAATTCTCAAAAAATGAGTTAAGACCATGTTTTACTTTTCCCATTGTGTCTCATACCCATTTTCCCCAGTTCTCTCGCAGCCCATCGCCTTGTCCTCGAGCTGCTGCCAGGCAGTGCTGGAACGCAGCAAAGCTAGTCCAGCCCCCGGGGTGAGACAGGAATCTCATTTTCACCTTGCGTTTAACTATGACACTGTTTTGTCCAGATGCTGGCAATTTGGTGCAAGGGATGGTATTAAAAGCACAGAGTCATTCTCAAATCGCTACCAAGAACAACGTATTTCACATACTAGGAGTTTAAGAACACACATAGACTTTCGATGTGTCAAAAAATAGTCTTCTGCGAGCCCTTCATGAGCTCCTTTGGTATCACACGTAGGGTTTTTTTTGGAAACAAGGGAAGCCTTATGAATGAGAACATTTTCTTCTACTAATTCAGTTTGTGATGTTCTTATCTGGTGGTGTAAAGTGCTCCCCTTTTTTTTTTTCCTAAAAGAAAAGAGTACTAGGTACAACTCTAAATTTAGTTTTATGGCATCCAGCTAGAAGCTTTTTATATAAACCAATGCAGCTGAAGTAAGAGAGTTCCTCCAGACAGAATAAACTTATGATTTTACTGAACTGTTAAGTTTTTTTCCAAGAAGAAGTTACTTCACTTCTCACTTCAAACAATGGGAAGAGTGAAGCTTAGTTCATCAGGCTCACCCTCCCTCCTAACTCAGTTAACATTAATAGAGGCACTTCCCCCTCAGCCCTCAGAGGTTAGCTGGATTTAACTATACTGTTTCAGGCTGAATCTCATTTGTACACTTAAAAGCTTTATCTGACTGTTCAAAAAAAAAAATGCAAGCCATTTCTAGATATATATTCAGATGTTTCAGTAGCTCCTGCTTTAATAGATCACTTTCCTGATCACAAAACTATTTTCCTCGCAAGAACAGGAGAAATTCCTTAGGTGGAGAATAATTTTGAGATGGCCCCTGCTTCCAGAAAGTTACTGGCGTCTTGTCTAACGCTTCTGGCCTGTCCTCTTTGACGAATACTTGGTTCGGCGGCCAAAGCCTTTTCCCAGTTACGTGTAGACAGGTTACACGTTTCTAACGTATCAGAGGGTAGGAGAAGCTCCAGGAGAAGCTCCAGGAGAAGCTCCAGGAGAAGCTCCAGGAGAAGCTCCAGGAGAAGCTCCAGGAGAAGCTCCAGGAGAAGCTCCAGGAGAAGCTCCAGGAGAAGCTCCAGGAGAAGCTCCAGGAGAAGCTCCAGGAGAAGCTCCAGGAGAAGCTCCAGGAGAAGCTCCAGGAGAAGCTCCAGGAGAAGCTCCAGGAGAAGCTCCAGGAGAAGCTCCAGGAGAAGCTCCAGGAGAAGCTCCAGGAGAAGCTCCAGGAGAAGCTCCAGGAGAAGCTCCAGGAGAAGCTCCAGGAGAAGCTCCAGGAGAAGCTCCAGGAGAAGCTCCAGGAGAAGCTCCAGGAGAAGCTCCAGGAGAAGCTCCAGGAGAAGCTCCAGGAGAAGCTCCAGGAGAAGCTCCAGGAGAAGCTCCAGGAGAAGCTCCAGGAGAAGCTCCAGGAGAAGCTCCAGGAGAAGCTCCAGGAGAAGCTCCAGGAGAAGCTCCAGGAGAAGCTCCAGGAGAAGCTCCAGGAGAAGCTCCAGGAGAAGCTCTCCTACTGCAGCTCACCACGAACGGCAAGACCGTTCCTCCAGACAAAGCTGAGGAGGACGAACGGGTGCTGAAGTATTCGACCTCTTCTGGTGGCGGCATACCTTTTCTTTCCCCGTGCAAACACTTTTCTGAAGACTGCCTCTTAGGTGCACGCACCCACTGGCTACATACCTGCTTTTATGAGAGTGGAAAGCGTTCTTAGTTGCATTTTCATTTATGCACACGCAGAAGCGTAGTATCTCCACTTTTTAATTCCAGCTCACATAGGGACTAGTATTTGAGCTGACAGCAATAGCAAAAAAAGGCAAATCTACTCCAGCTAACGTGACCGAAAATGGGATGCTCGCCCTTCTTACTGATTTATCCAGCGTTCAGTGCCAGTCCACTGGCAAATAACCAGCACCTTGGGGAAACGGAAGATAAACACACCTCTGGTTTCACTGTTTCATATCTCAGCTCAGTAATGCTTTCAGGGATGGTTCAAATCAGAACAAAGTTTATTAGGCTAATAAACTGTGCTTGGGCCAGCTGACGTTAGCTATTGGCTTTGTTCATTGAAGTGAGTTCACATTAACGTTAAGAAAAAAAAAACACCAATAAGATGCATTTGCAACAGAACAGTTCAGAAGATGCTAATAGCTATAACATCGTTTACCAGGATTAATTTGTTTTCCTTAGCGTTATTACTGCATATCAAATCTTCCTGATTTTTACTTTTCAAGAAGCTAAAATAGCCAGGCCCTTCTGTAAGTCTGCCAAAAGACTGGCAGCCAACTCGGTATAAACAGGACTCACTGTGCCAATGCAAGGAGTAAAATCCCAGCCCTAGCATCTAGACCCAGGATCCTCATCATGAACACTAGCAAAGAGCGCTTTGTTCACTGTTGGGCATTTCAAACCCTATTACCTTCCCACCTACATCATGTATTATCCTTACTTGCAATATACTTCAGCTCGAGGGAAAACTAGGAAGCAGCATGTCCATCCATTCAAAACTAGCTTTATCAAAAGCAAAAGAAATGGTTTAAGTGCACACACAGGTATCATGAACAGCACAAGAAAATTTTCCTTTACAGCTGCTGTTTAAGTAAGAGATAGGTCCAATATAAGGACCAACTAATACTTACCAAGCGACTGCCTAGCCCAGGGAACACTGGTAAGATTGCCGCTCTCAGTAGTGCTGCTTCCCACTGAATACTGTGTTTTAGGAATTATTCCCTTCTAACACTGACCTCCCAGTTACAAAAAGAAATATCAGTTGAACAGATTTACCAGAATTTACAAACCTATTTCACTAGTGGCTGCTACATGAACTATATTTTATATATTTCTGACCAAACAAGTCAAAGGTTTTTGGCAGCTTCCAAGCGTTTATCCGATTTTAAGCGTTAACATACCCTGCGTCAAGGTTTCCATTTCATTAATAAATCAGAAAATTGACCTCAAAAAAGCGACCGTCCAGCGTAAGTGACGGTCACTCGGCCTGAAGAAGGGGCACGTTCACTATTTATTTCATCGGGTTGCTGAAAGGGCTACAACAGTTTAGCAATCATCTCTCTACTAGGCAGACATACACCTTCGGGGCTCTCCCCCTCTGAGCGTTTCTCTACGGTATCGGACTTTCCGGGCAGACACGTACATACCAACGTTTCCTTGTGAGGACTGCCAAATTTAAACGTTCATTACATCACGGCATTTTACATTCAAAGCTTCTTCGAACTGAGCAGGAAAGAAGGGTTTTGAACGCAGGTAAACGCATACAAGGTTAAGATGAGAAATCTCTGCTCTGCGCAGCTCCTGTCCAAGGGAAGGAGGGAGGTGGTGCTTTCCTGGCCGCTTCCAGGTCCTCCACAGGATCCGTTCAAACCAACCCTGCTCCTTAGATCTCAGAGAAATAAAGTTGATTTGTTCTGATTTGAAAGCAAAGCGTGACAGAGACATTTTCGTTCGGTCACGTGTGGATAAGGCACCGGGGCTGAAGCCCTGAAAAATTTAAGCGTGTGGTATTTGAACCTCAAAATAACCGCACTCAGAACAACACGCAGGGTGCGTTTTATCTGTCAAAAGGTTCCTTTACGTTACAGCTCCGTCTTTAACACGGTTAGCAGAGTTTACAGCATTTATTGGGGTGTGCGCAACAGTACAGTCTCTTAACTGGTGCACTCAGCAGCTCCCTACCCGCAGGACCCGCCGTCAGAGCCGAACCCCTCCGTGGCTTCGGAGGATGCCGCAGACAGGCGGAGGCAGGATCTGCTGATGCTGCTTGGCGCAGCAGCGCTTCTTGGCATGCACGTGTGTTTTGCAGCAGCCCCGGCCCTGGGAGAGTCGAGCTCCCCGCGGCCCGCCGCTCTCCGGGGAACCGTGCTGCGGAGCGCGCCCAGCCGCGCGAGCCCAGCGCACGCGGCTCTACGGATCGGACTGCGTATAACGGCCCCAACCAACGGAGCAACCGCGTTTCAGGGCGGGACCTTTCGGTTTTGTTCTTTCCGAGCATCCCTTCCTCCCCGCTTTCCGGTTGAATCAGACATTTACATGAATAGCTTTTTGTTCACTAGTACATTAACATTTGATTTAAAAAAAGAAAAAAACAATTCACGGCTACTGAAGGGTCATAGCAGAGAGGTTGTAAGCAGATACCACTGTGCCAACTTCAAGCTTGTTAAGACACATTTATGATTTAGGAAAAGCTGTTTATTTTGCATATTAATTTCGCTTCACCCAATATGCAGCACCAACTGCCCCCAAGACAAAAGATGCACAGAAATACATCATGCAAATCAAGCATTCCCCCCCTCTCCCCACAGATTCAGGTTTGCAGACAGCGTTAAGTGTTAATTTGTAAGACATAAGCGTTCACATGCTGTTAGCCTAACTGACATTTTCCACAGACTTTACAAGCAGATTTAAGTTTTCAAGTTTGCATTGCACCAAAATTGCTAATGCAAACAGCATGCACTACAGGTAGACTAAGGTGACAGAAGCATTAACACTAGTTATACTACTATTACTTTGTTTCTAAGTCTGTGTGAAACAAGCAGTTGCTTTTTTAATCAAGGCTTTTGCAGCTGGAGTTAATACAAGAACAGTAGCTTTAGAACAATCAGCAGTGGTTCTTACCTTCTGGAGTTGGAGTGCAACCCAAAAAAAGGAGAGAAACACCCCTTTAAAAACTTTAGCATAACAATCGTCTGATCAGCAATATGAACCCTCCTCCCCATCCACCAGAACTGAATTTAAAGTTTCAGATAGGTCTGCAGTAACACTAAAACTAAGCTTTATTATAAGCATAAACAAAGAGGGAGGGGGGGATTGAAAATAAACTGGGGGGGGGAAAAAAAAAAAATCTGAGAGGTATACAAAGAGGCTCAGAGGTGGCTCCCAACCCTGTTCATGAACTCCTATGACAAGGGTCCGGCGATCCCTTTGGAAATCTCCCATGCAGACAGCGCTAGAGGAATTTACTTTCCTTATTCTTTCACACATGCCTGGAAGTATTCAGTGACTCACATTTCGAGGTAAAACTGAAGCCCAGCAACCAAAAGTAGTGAGACACACTGCCAACGGTTTAAGGAAGCTACGAGCTCGGAGCTGGTAAGCCACAGAAACCAGCACCCGCTACCGCCTCGGGGGCTTACGCTTCCCTGAGTCACCCCAGGAACTAACAGTGCAAACACCAGTACAAACCAGCGTCACTACACGCCTCTGCAGCAGTTGGGGTTGGGGGGGGGGAATTTCGGGGGAAGAGGGGTTGTTTTAGAGTTGACTAAAAACTTTGGGCTCTACAACGAGTTTTAAAATGCCAACAGCTGCAGTTCACGAAGGTTTGTGAAAACAGCAAGACAGCGTCCTGACAAACCCAAGCGCAGTCAGCGATCGCGGTCAGAGGGCCCAGGAGACGCTTGAGGAGGAAGAAGATCACAGCCTGGAGGACGCTATCAAGTTCTTCAGCAGACACTGAAGTCTGCTGCTTACTTTAATTAATGGCCTACAAAGACTGGTATGGCAAATGAATCTGGCCTGCAGGAATACTTGAGGACTTTTAAATTATGTGCTGAAGCCTGGATAAGATTAAAAAAAAAGACTTGAAGTCTGGTTTTCTTAGATATCGTCTACAGAAGCGAGCAAAAGATTCAAATTTACAGTGTCCACACATAAAAGATACATATGTATGTGCCGTTCACATCCTTGAGAGCCTAAGCAGAAATAATTAGCATTTTCTGTTCATAAAGGAAGAGGACAAAGCAGTACCTACACTCTTAGGCTTTTGGGGCACAGAAGATTAAAAGACTTTCAAAAGGGATTTGGGGTTTGGTTTGGTTTTGTTTGGGGTTTTTTGCCCTTTGCATTTCTGCCACAGAACCACCAGCTGGTTGAAACCGAAGATAATCTAAAAGCTCAAACCTCAATACCTTTTGAGATCTTAGCTCTAGTGTTTTGATAAAAAGAATGTCAACCTGTTAAATTCCTGTAGTATTTATCACTATAGCATCATCCTACTTTTCCCTTTGCAAGAGCTAACGTACTCCCTTCCACAGGAGAAGGGGAGACATGTAATTTTATTCTGATGAGACAGCAAAAACTGCTATTCGTGCAGTCTCAGCTAATATGAAAGAAATGGACTACTTGGTTCATCAGGGATTTCCTACCTTTTATATAAATAATGGATATGGAAAGAGTCATCTAGTCAAAGTTTCTCCTACATGTGATGAATGTATTTAACGTTCCCTGCTAATGATAACATTGTCTCTCTATACATCCGTTCTCTTTGAACAATTATTTTTTCAAACCAGTATTTCTCCCCTACATGTATTATTCATGTCACCTACTAACCTGTGTCCATGCTTTTGCACAGATACTTTTCTGTACCCCTGAGTATTTTACCTTTTGGCTGAATTAATGCTAATGAACCAAATTTTGCGAGGGTTTGATAAAACTGAAGTATCCTTCAAGAATTATCAGCTTTTCATTCTATGGTCTACAGATAAACAAATCATTCCCCTGATAAAATATGGGTGCTAACTGCAGATAAAGACTCTAGATCCAACACTGAAAGACAAGGTGCCCTGTGACAAAACAACTTTATAAGGAAATTCAGCTCCCTCCATAGTTAGTGATGCCAGCGTCTACTAAAAATAAGGGCTAAAGGACTAGCAACCACCATGGTGGCTTAAATAAGACAGGTAAGATTGAAAAGAGACCAAA